AGGGGAGAGAGGAAAGGGGGAAGGGAGGAAGCAACTTCCCTGACCTTCAACAGAGTCTGAGGGAATGGGCTTTGTTTCCATTGTCCTAAGAAATGCTTCCTAGGTGATACTTCCTTACCCTTCTCGCTGCTTAGGGCTGAAAGAAGAACAAAATATATTCATTCCCTTCATGTCAAGACTTAGGCTGTAAGCTGATCTTTTGGAAAGATGTCTGTGATACAAAGGACAAGGCCTGAGCCTGAAATAGGAGCCAGGGACAGGGGGACCATATGTCTGAGGGGACAGCCCTGGGCCTCGGGCCCCCGCTGCTGCCGCCCGCACAGCTGGGTCTGGATGCGCTGTCCCTGAGCGAGGCCTGTCTGCACGCCGGGCCCTGAGCCGTTCCAGGGCGCCAGCCCATGCGCACACACATGCACACCAAGGCCATCATCATACACAGACCTTCCACCTGGGAGAATTATGGACCCCAAGTAAGCCTTGTTTCTTCACAGCTTAGCAGGCTCAGGTGCTGGGTTACTGCAGGGGGACGTACTGGGAACAGATGCCCCATATGCCTGTCCCGGGCAGAAACAGCCCCTTTGCTCAACTGCGGGACCAGCTTCTTCCTCCACTAGCACCATTCCCGGAAGCTCTCAGGCCTGGCAAGGCCGGTGCCTGCCATTCTGGTTCTCCATGTTGGTGGGAGATCGGGGGCGCCCAACTATGGTCCGCCCCTCTATTTCCTTTATGCACAATGGAATTGGGGGCTTTTCCACTGTTGCTGGCTATCTCGATACACCTGCTTGTGAATAGTCTCTTCTAATCTTTTGCCTACCGTGGGCATGATGGCGCATGCCTGTAATCCCAGCACTCGGGAGACTGAGTTGGAGGATCACTGTGAGTTCGAGGCCAGGCTGGACTACAAAATGAGTTCAAGACCAGCCTGGAACTGCATAGCGAGACCCTGCCTCAAACAGACAAAAAAAAGATCTTTTGCCCATTTTTTTTGGCTGAACAGGGGATTGAACTCAGGCCCTTGCGCTTGCCAGGCAAGCGCTTATTCTACTGAGCCATCTCCCGGCCCTTTTGCCCATTTTAAGCTGCTTTGTTTGCCCTTTCATTATCTCGTCGACAGCCCAGCCCTGCATCCAACACAGGCTCAGGAGCACTCATTCCTTCTGGCCCCGTCTGCCTGTCTTTGCACTGATCGTGACTCTGATCATGACTTGTAACAAAGCTCAGTCTGATACTTTCTTCTCTGGTTCATGTTTTTGGGTCCCGTCGAGGAATTGTCACCTGCCCCCAGTCATGCGGACATGGCAGTGGCCTTAACACTGACACGTAGGTCTGACTCATTGTAAAGATGCTTTTCTAAGTGGCTGGGCGGTCTGAAGGTTCCGTTCTTTATTTGTACGCATTTATAGTGGGTGCCGGGAATCCCACGCAGGCGTGGGCGTGCGGGGCACATGCTCTCCACCGAGCTGCAGGCGTTGTAAGGCTCATGCCAGTGGCCCCGTCTGGTCTCTGCAGGGCTGGGGAGCGACCCCAGGGCCACACATCTAGGCGTGTGGTGCATGC